GTGCAGCCTCACCAGTGCTGAGTACAGGGGAACGATCACTTCCCTAGTCCTGCTGGTCACACTATTCCTGATACAAGCCAGGATGCTGTTGGCCGCCTTGGCCACCTGGGCACACTGCTGGCTCATATTCAGCCGGCTGTCGACCAACAGCCCCAGGTCCTTTTCTGCCAGGCAGCTTTCCAGCCACTCTTCCCCAAGCCTGTAGTGTTGCCTGGGGTTGTTGTGACCCAAGTGAAGGACCCGACACTGAGCCTTGTTGAACCTCATACAGTTGGCCTCGGCCCATTGACCCAGCCTGTTCAGATCCCTCTGTAGAGCCTTCCTGCCCTCCACAGATCAACACTCCCACCCAACCTGTTTTCATCTGCAAACTTACTGAGGGTTCACTCCATCCCCTCATCCAGATCATTGATAAAGATATTAAGGAGAACTGGCCCCAGTACTGAGCCCTGGGAAACATCAGCTTTTCCCTATTTAATGTGAGTTTATCATATGAAGTATGTTCTAGTGACTAATGATGTCCAAGAATTTTTGGAGTATTTACGGGATGTGTGATCTGAGTATTGAATCTCTGTCCTTAGTGAGATACAGTATGGTTGGGAGATGATCCTTTTACTTCCTGAACAAGTGCCCTAGCCATTGAGCTTCTGGAGATACATGCAAGAGTGTTCTACAGCTTTGACCAGTAATTTTAATTATTTTAATGAAATGCTGTTGTGTCAGAAGGTAACAAATAGCTATCATAAGTTAACAAATAGTTATATAGTTGCCTCTTGGAGTTAATATGTCCTAGGTAGTGGCTGGCATTTAAAATACAGTACAACCAGCCTTCCTATATATATTTTCCTGCTGCACAATCTCATTATTTGCTTTATTCTCACCTGCATGTAGAAACCTTTTAATCATTTGAATTTGAGGGTGAGCATTAACATTGTTCTTTGGTTTTGTGGTGAAATCTGATAAGCTGTGTATTTCCCCTGGTTTTTGACAAAATTATATGTTTATTGCCTTGTTTGAAATTCAGAAGCACTCAGCGTTTTAGTCTGAGCCCATTTTATTTCTACATATACCCCATGATATTTCTTTATGCTTGATGAATTTCTCTGGAGATTTTTTGAAAAGCTTTGAGATTGACTTCCAGGTACTACAAACAGGCTCATTCAACACCGCAATCAGCTATTCTATTAATGGAATCAATTTGAATAAATTTCATTAAGTAAAAGTCCTAAAAACAAGAGGCGGCATATCAGGAAGCTTGTAAGAACTATTTTGTAGGGGTTCTAGTCCAAAAATGACATCCTGGAAGCAGTAGGATTTTTTTAACAGTTTTCTTTTTTTCCTGTGAAAAATAAGCTTTATAATAGGTAGTGCGACGTCCCTGTTCACAGACAGACTTTATTACTCTTTCAGATCATGTCTATTCCTTAGACTACAAATAGTTTTGAACTATTTTGTTAGCTTGAGTTGCTTTGGTAGAATTCAATGTCATCTGCTATCTTTCCTAAATGTAGAGTTACCATTTCCCCTACCAGATTTTACAAGGCGATTCCACTGCATTTTTTCAAGTGCTGCAGTAAACAGAGTAGCCGTGGGGTTGTACCTGTGGTATGTCCTCTGGGTAGAGCATGCTGTCATGTTAGGGTCTGGGTTGCAAGGACTGCCTGGGGTCTGATGTCCATATAATTACGTGTTCAGCTTAAAGAAGCCAGTGGTTCCCTGAACACTCAAGAGAAGTTAGTATTTTGATAGTTCATCACTGATGGTGGTTTATTTTGCGATCCTGGACAACAGATAATACCAGTAAGTGCAGGATTTGTCTCCTCCACAGAGGAGAATTTCAAACAGAACTTAAAGGGAAAGTGTTCAGTCCTGTTAAAAATCACCTTAGAGCACCTGACCAGGCTTCCCGTTGCTTTGTGTGTCAGTTTGCAACATAGGTGAGATGTAAAGAACATACTTAGTCCTGCTTCCCCTCCATGTATTCACCCAGCATTTTCAGTTTTAAAGGGCCTGTTGATGTGAAAAACTGCTCCTGAAATTCCAATCCCACTTTCTTGTTCTTTCATACACCAGTTTTGGCAGAGGACCATGAAGTATTTTGCAAACAAATAGTTAAGCACCTTTGATCTAAGGATAACTTGGCCCATCACATTAGTGAGGTGATGTAGGTAAGTAATTTTGTAGGAACAGGACCTAGTCACATTTTTCCTGGGTAACTATGTACCCACTCTAGTAGTGCCAAAGGTAAGTATGCAATATAATTTGAAGCTGCAGGGAGTGCAAGCAGAACTCTATTCACTTGGTCTTCAAACAAAATGGCATGAAGACAAATAACAACATAACTTCTTTAGGTTCTGTGCAAAAGATTTCCTAGTAAATAATAATACAGAGCTGTCAGCATGCCAGGGAGATGCTATCAGTTCTGCAGCAAAATGTGTTGCAAAGTGATTTAGCTGCCATAGGTGGAACTCAGTTTGTTTAAGAATAGAGTTCCTTAACACCCTGCCTGAGAGCTTTTGAGATTGCACTAGAAATGCCACGGACTCCTCTAGACTGCTTCTGAACTATTTCAGACCCAAGAGAAAATCTTACATCCCCCTGAAAGGCAGGAGAATTAACTTGTCCTGAAAGGCTAGTAAGGCTCAGAGAAGAAATGGTTTACAGAGATAGCGTGATCGTTCTTTAAATGTTGTATGGGATCCAGAGGTTAGAAACATAGGATCTTTGAGCCGATATTAAATCCCAGAATTTGGAGACTTGAATTTTAAAATAAAGAGCAACAGAAGAGAGAATTCAAGCAAACCATTTCACATTAGCGTTGGCAAGCTAAGCCAGGCCCACAACTGCACAGATGATTAAGACAGTATAAATCCTACCTCTTGTTGTAACAGGAACTGGTAACTAGTAATTAAGGAGTGAAGGAGATCCATCCTTCAGCAAAGGATGTTTCTGTGCAGCAAATGTTACCCTAATGATACTGTCACATTCAGATGGTGAGCAATCAGAGAAGTGTTACCAGAAATGAGATATCCAATTGTTGGGTTTTTGACTATTAATTCTCATACTTATGCCCAGTACCCAGTTTCAGAAACCTGTAGCCCAATTTACAAGAATTCAGAACAACTTTGAGATAAAATAAAGCCAGTGGGCACTGGATTCTGAAAATCCTGCATGCTTTAAACAGGTAAGAGCAGAAAAAATCAAGACAGCTCATCTCGAAGGTGTAGCGAACACTTTTGATAGTGTTGTGCCTCAGTTTTATCCATAAGAAGAGGTTACTGCAGGGAGCTCTTAAGATAAGCTATTTATTGTTCGTGAAACAGCTCATTAATACGATAAGTAGCATCCCAGAGGGATCCCAGGAGGAAAATAATAATTTAGTATTCAGTGCACAGTTTGGATATTTTACAATAAACGAGAAATACAAAATAAAGATTTTTAAGAAATCTATCCATTTAATGGGTATTGATAAACCTAAACACAGAACAGATAAAGATCCTGTGGAAACAGTACATGAACCCAAAAAATTGTCATTGTGGGGGCACAGAACTAGATTTCACATGCAGCTGAAGTTCTGGTCATTCTTTACTTCTGAGTTCTTAACTTTGCAATTTAACATCCTCTTTTGGTTTTTTTGCTGGGTTTTTTTTGGTCTTATTTTCTTTTTTCTGATACCACGTCTAGCAGCTGGAATGGGTTCTTACACAATAGAACATTATACAAGTGTGTCTCCAGAAAAAGGCAAGTCCATTAGAACTTTTCATGTCTATGAGCTGCAAACAAATTGTTTTGACATTTAAAGAAATCTCTGTGCTTCTATTGAGAGGTTCTAGATTCTGATCAATAAAGAGATTGTAATTAAACCTATATTTAAAAGAAGGCAACACCTAGAAGACTTGTTTTTGCAAAAGGAATGCTGAGAAGAGTTTTAAAAATATTAGCTGTATTTTAAGGAAAAGAAAGAAACAAGTGTTTTCAAGTGGACTAACACTGAGTTACAATGAAAGCAAAACCAAACAGACAATAAAGCTTTTTGGACTGGTCAGATCATGTGGAACTTGCACAAAAATAGCTCTTGATACTGCTGGAGTACTGCAGTGTCCGTATGACCTTTCCGATGTGTCTTTGTTTTCTCTCTTCTGCTGGGGAAAGCTACCTGCCCTCACGCCTTCTCCTCAGGGATTATCTCAAATTGTAGCAAGTTTGTAAACACAGCTCATATCATCACTGTGTATTTGACGTGAAATTATTTGTTTTGAACAGACTTTTTAGCTTGGATGCCATCTGACTAAATCACCCAAACTCTTCTTGTGAGTGAAACAGCCTCAGCAATTGAAAACCACTCAGATGGGACTAGTTTTAATAAAACCACCAGAAGGTGTTTGTTTTCCTACGCTTGAACCTGTTCTGCGTCAGAAGGAATTTGAGTCATTCTGCCTTTCCAGAAGGCACTGAAGTGTCATACTTCAGAGCACCAACTATTAACATGACTAGTGTCAGTTTTGTCTAACTGAATGCCGTACTGTCTCTTTTAACTCTTCCTTCTTTCTTCCCTTAATTCATTTCATATCAGCACCTTTGAAAATGTGCCTGTGAGGTGGTGTGCTACGCTGGATTGTTTCCACAGCAGCTTTCAAAATAAATGTTTTCATAATAGATTGCCATAGCCAGTAAAACAAGGTATTCTTTGTACTGTAGTTGCATGTGGGCAACAGTTAGGATTCAAGGTCTCGTGTGCTCATGTCACTGTTGCATTTTAAATACCCTTGTGTGCCTTGAACCAAAACATTAAAGTTGTTCCATCTACAAAGCCTGGTCTTTCTAACTCAAGCATTAGTGGCATTGGATTTTAGCTCTAGGGGTCAGTCACTGGCCTGGTGTCTTCACTAAGACATAGTTCCCTCACTGGCATCATGGAAACCTGCAGTGAAACAGCTCCAAAGGGCCGGCGGCTTCACTTTCTCACCTGTCTCACTCTGTCCTTCTTTGTCCCTCTTTAGGAGCTGTACTCTAAAGCTTCCCATGCTTTAACGGAGTTGGTGACAGAGCTGTTTCTTCAGACCCTGCCTGTTGTGACTGGCCTCTCTGTAAGAGAATGCGAGCTTCTGAAAGAGGAATGGCTGGAAAATTTGGTTCCTCAGCTGGAGAAATGGGAGACCCACCGCCAGAGACACTGGAAGCTTTTCCAGGAACAGCTATTGCAAGAAAAAAAAGTAAGAAAGACTAATATTACATTCTGGGACATCAGGGTCTAAAATCACGGATATGGCAAAAGAAAATATCAAGATATTTATCTGTGGAGAGTTCTTTGTCTATGAATATACAGCCCAGGTCCAGAGACAGTATGAGACTCAGGATGGGCAGTTTGACCTGCAGCATGGAGTGAATATATATATGCTGTGCATGTAGACTTGCATAGAGGAGTCAGAGAGTAATTACTGAACATCTGTCCACAGTGTTTGATGGCTTTGTCAGCACGTAAACATTTTTTTGGCACGGCTGCTGTCTGATGCCCTCAACTCTTGAGCATCTGCGTTCAAAAAAACCTTCATCTGGTCTGTTTGGAGAGGGTATATATGAGTACAGTTTACAGGAAAGGAGGCCTTACAATGACAAGTATTTCTTAGTCATTTTTATGTATTAATACTATAGTGTTTTTGAAACATATGATACATACTTTATATAAAACGTATTCTTTACTCTGAGAAGGTAAAGAAACACACATCCAATTTTCCTGCTGTGTTTCTGCCCAGCATAGGGGGCATTGACACCAGAGGAGAAAAGCAACGGGAACAAAAAGCAACATGTGGAGGCAAGTATCTTCATCATTAGGCTGGAACTCAAATATGCCTTTGATTTATTCATCAATTCTATGTCTCTATTAACACTACTTTGCAGACTAACACAGCTTAGTCAAAGAAAGACCTTATGTATACAAAGGTGTTCCCTTTCCCAAATGTCAAGTGTGTGCTGCAACATATAGAATAATGGGAACTTCTCAAATAAAAGGTTGGCAGAGTTCTTTATTGCTGGTAAAATCATACTTTTCCCTAGCCTCATTCTCCAAAATGCCTGGACAATCCAGTACATGGTTAATAAGGTACTGACAGAGTCCCTAATTATTACAGACTGCTATAGGTGTTTAATTTTTCCACCCACTCATATTTAGGGTTCTTCCATAAAACTCTGTGATTCAGGAAACTGTGGGCTTCCTACTAAATCTGGCAGAGTGCTTTGCTGACCAGTGGTTTTAGAACACCCTTGGGAATACAAAAGTAAAATTATTTGTTGGAAATTCTTAGCCATTTCCTTTTTTTCTTCTCTATTTTCCTTAATTTGGAGTTATACAACGTGCACCTCCCTGATCATTTTATATTTGCTTTATTGTCACTCACCTGTTACCTCAATTATTTTGAAAAAACAATTCTGCTTGCCTCTTGTGTTTCTGTTTCTGTGTCACAGAGATATCTAGCAAACTAAACCGAAATGTTCTTGGGACTGACCACTGATGCCAACAAGTCTGTTCATGTGCTTTAAGTTAAGGGTGGGCATTTGTTTTCTAGGACTACTGGTGATATTTAGTGTTTGAATTTGGCATACCTGTTTCTTCAGTGATTAATGAAACAATGTCTGACCTCAACTTTTTTTATTTTGCCCCTTTTTATCAAGGATGAGATTCAATACCTGACTTGGCAAGCTTAAGCCTTAAGGTTGCTGTTCATTTTCACATTCACCGAGGGTTCACAAATTGCCTGTCCTTGTATGTGAGTGACCTGAGCAGCCTGGACTAGTAGCTGCACTACTACTATGTCTCATGGTGCATGGAGACCAAAGCACCGTGGTGGTATCTGCTGTCATTAAAAACCACAGTCAGAGAAGGAGGACGTTCTGGTGTACAACTTAGGATTAGTCAGAGTGCATGTTAGGGCACCTCTGCTCTGGTCCTTCCACTGTCCCGTTGAACCTCAGCCTTTGTTCAGGGCCAGAAGGATGTTGTTCAAGGTCTAGGAGACTCTCTGCGGAGAGGGAGATCACAAGTCTAAAGTTTTCTTCCAAAACTGCTGTTTATGCATTCCTCTGTTACTGTCATTGGGCACAGTATTGAGTGGAGAAACCACACCCTGGGATTTTTTTATCAAGAGATTAAAAGGATTAGTTCATCTCCAGCACCTAGTTGCTGGATGATAGCTCTTTGGGCAGCACTGTATGATGGATTCATTGAATGTGAATCCGGATGTTCCAGTCATGCCCAAGCATAGGTTATTTAAACTAGAAAGTTGACTTTCCATCACTTTCAGTGTACCATGACATTCATAATACAAAGCAGATGGCTTCCTAGATGAAAAAAAAAAAAAGAATAAAGGATTTGCTTACATCATTAACAGTAATTACTGAGCTATAGAGGAATTCATTTAACAATGACAGCTCTCACATTGGTCTCTGGGTCACCAGCAGTGCAGCTGGGCCTTATTGAATATAAACATTTCCTGAGTGGCAGACAGAGCTGTCCAAAGGACGAGTGATTCTGTGGGATAAATTGCTAGAAGAAACAAGGGTTTCTCATAGTGGGAAAATGTGTGATTCCTGAAGATAATATTCTTTGCAGGAGCTTAAGTAGTTTTTTTTAACTTAATGTGTGTGGCTTTTTGGAAGTGATTTGGACTAAACTGGAAAAAAGTCTGCTATATCACCAAAGAGAGTATGCAGGGAGGTAGCCATTCCAGCAAAGCTAGGCTGGCAGATTTTCCTGTGTAAACAAGTCTGAAAATCATCACATAACTCATGATATTATGTTCAAATGCATTTCTTGGCCCTTTCCTAGCGTAAATGCAGCAGCATGCACATTTAAGAAATAAGCTGACACTTGCATCCTACAAAAAGGGGCACTTGGTTTCCACCTTAAGAAAAGGAGAAGAGAGATCAGACACTTGTGACAGGTGATTATGTCATTTAGGAGATCCCATAGATGTTACAGTGCTGAATATGACAGAAGATCCATAAATCAACATTCATATTGACAGGTCTTTAAATTTATCAGGCATTTTCCAGCAGGAGATATGTCTTTCATTTGCCTCTTGATAAATGTGCTATACTAAGAGTTACATAGTCACCTGCTTTACAGCCTTGGAAAGGCTTTTCACCAGGGTATTTATGCATGCTTTTCAAAGTGGCTCAAAAAGACATTTTTCCCATTTACTTGAACTGCATTTTTTTTTGTTAGAATATCTTTGCTAATATTTATACATATCTGGAATATGATGTCCTTTGGAGGAACAGAATCTCTTTTACAATTGAAAAGAAAAAATCAGTTTCATATTTAAATTTTGCCTTAGGCACTTGAGGATGTGTGTGAGGCAAATGAGAACAAATGAATAAAGAAAATTAATTTTGAGCATTTTCCTACATAGCCTCTACCTCATCATTTGTGTAGACAAGCTCTCCTGCCTGGGCGGCGGTCATGGGGAGCACACTGCTGCACCAGGCTGAGGGTCTTGCTTGGCATTCAGTGTGCATCACACCCCATCTACAGGCTGTTAGGGAGAAGTTGCTTTCCTTAGATTTCCTGAGAATTTCTGCTAAATATGTCAAAGTGAGACCTGCAGAAAAAAGAGTGAGCTTGCTTGGGTCTAATTTGCTGCTGTATCTGAGGTCTAACACAAAATATTTTATGAGTTTCATTACCAAAGGCATATTCTTTGCCTTTATTGCCAGAGAGCAATTCTTAACATTAGTAGTGCTCCAGAAGGTCTTGTAATGGACGTTGCCAGGAAGCAAAACACTGAGAAGCTTACAGAGAAAAAATGGAATGAGGAGATTTCTGTCCATTCCCACATCGTTGCTTGACACCCAGAAAGCTGAACCAGCATCTGCTTATTGGTTTTGACGTGGTGTGCATTTTATCCCTTTCTCTTAATTTTATACTCATTTTTTCATAGTGATTGGAATGACTCTTCAAGGAACCAGGCATTCCTCGAAGCTTTACTCCCTCATTTATGATGCTTTTGTCACTGATTTTACTGGTTAAATGCAGGAACTGGAGAGGCCAAGCTCTCTTCTAACTGCTGAGTTTGTGCTGCAACGTCATTTTCTCCACTCTGTACTGACGTGTCTCCAAGCAAAGTAAGGCCATTCCCAAGAACAGGAAAGCTTTGAGAGGCACCTGGAGACTTGGCCCAGCTTTGGAAGGTCAGTGCAGCACAAAGCCTGACTTTTCCACCTGGCTTGATGAAATAGTTGTCTCTGCTAATTTTCAGCAATATGCCAGCAGCCTCAAAAAAAAAAAAAGATTCCCAGAGGATCTTTGCTGTTGCATCTGTGCCTGAATGTGTGAGTTCTTCTAGTATTTTGGAAGTGGAAAATACCCAGCCCTCCCAGCTCATCCCAGTGAGCCGTTGAAGTGTTGCCTCCAAGAAAATATTCAATATTATGTTCTTATTTCCAGCTGATCCTTCCCTTCTTGATCATCTTCCTAATAGCATTTTTGAGACAAAACACTGGTTTAGTATTTGGTCCAAATCTCAATCTTCCTTATTTATCATCCCATCTTAAATGCATAATTAGCCCCTTCTTTCCTCCATGTTCTTTTAGTACTTACATGGCTGATGTACTTCTACTGTTCAGTTTAATAACTGTGCACAGGGGTATTTTCTGCTCTGTTCTCAGCTTCCCATTGGTCTCAGGGGGATGAAGAGACCTTTTATAAATTTTGCATACAGCTTACCTTAAATGCGCTTGCAATGGAAAAGGTGGCTTTAAAAGAAAGTCTGTGTTCACCACTACAGAACTAGAGTATTTCTTCATAAAAAGAAGTAAACAACGACTACAATCCCTGTCATTGTTATCATTCTGAGTGCCTTTTGGGATAGGATATACTGCTGGCAGCAGTGTTAAGATTTAGTTTCTTGGCTGCAATATTATATCATTTACCATTCCAACTGGAATCCAGAAAACTTCTCCTGTCTTCTGTATCTTGGTGATCTACACCAGATTTAATCCACAAGCTGTTTGAGAGTAAGTGTGCAGACAGGCCTTTCAAGAACAACTTCTCAGAGAATAACCAAGTCTCCAAAAATGATGGGAAGCCACGTCTGAGCCACAGCCAGTCGTTCATTGAAAATGAAAATACTTCTAGAAAGTTAAGGGTCATTTTAAGCCCTTTTAACTGCTGAAAGAGACATTAAAATACACAATGTGGTGGATCTACTAGGCGTATGCAGAGAGGTGTGAAACACTAGGAAGCCATATCCACAGAGCTGCTAAAGGGAAATACTGATACAGTTATTACTTCAAGCAAGTATTTGCCATCTGTCATGATGATACCTAGAGACCTGATAGACCTGAATTTGACACTTGCAGCATGCAATCAGAGAAGGCACTGTGCTTGGCTGTGCTCTGTGATGTTAAGAATCACCTAGACTCAAATCAGTTGAGGTCTGGCTACACAGGTACGTGTTGTGGCTCTTTCTGAGAGCAGCCTGGTGAGCTCTCCGGCACCGTACAGACTTTCAGGCTGAGCTTCTCGTGCTCAGCTGAACTTTTTCTGTCACCTGTTGCTGACTGCCTGCCCATCTTTCCCAGGCATCCTGCTCAGGAGTATGTGTTTTGGTAAGGTTTTCTTCATAGAGAGCGGTCAGTTATATGTGTTGCTGTGTATACTACAGAGAAGGCACTATCTAAGAAAGAAATACATTTTTATTTTAAAGTCAAAGATGATGTTGTTTCTGAAGTTCTGCATTTCCCGGGGGAGTTCATTCTGTGCTCAGAGATAAGGCCTCTCACCTGCACAGATCACTGCTTCCCAAGGAAAAGGCTATCAAATCCAGTAGGAAGGTCCATACCACTCCTAGTTCCTAATACTAACAATTGTGCAATTACACATCTAATTTTTTGCTAGGCATATTGATCTAGTGAAACCTTGCTGTTTGCAATAATAGAAAATTTAGTCCATCATGTTCTGAATGAGGCTAGAACATGAAGTGAAGCTGTCAGACACCCTGAGTATTATATTCAATTTAGGGCTCTGCATACCTCTGCAGGCAACCTGCATTTATCCAACTGCCAGTGAATCCTAAAATATATTCTTCATCTCACAGTAATAGAGTTTGGGCCTTAAAACCATTTCATCATTAGGTTAATGGTTGAACTTGATGATCTTAAGAATCTTTTCCAACCTAAATGATTCTATGATCTTATGGTTTATTATTCATTAAATTCTGGCAATATGCTAAAGAAAATCTTAAATCCATATCTCCACAAGTTTAAAGTCTAATGGAAAATCCATCAAAACATTTAAAGATTAAATTCTTTGATCTAAGTATCAACCTGAAGGAGCTGTAAACTTGCAGTCCATAAACCTAATCATGTAATCTCCATTTCTGTTAGCACTGTGCACTGTACACAAAAGTGTGATGGAAGATGGTATCTTTATTTTGTTCAGTGAAAATAAAAACTACATTCTTTTCTAGTGAAAAAAAAAGCAAACCAAAAGCCCACTGCAACCTGCTGATAAGAGTCGATGCAATATTTTGTGCCATATTTTTCTTTTTCTCTTGTTCCTCTGTCACTGAAACCAGCAAACCTGTAGGAGACACAGCTCAGGGCTGATCTAAATCAGTGCAACACCTCCCTTTCTTTTCAGTGAGCTTTGTTTAAGACTTTTATAATTGAGAAAAAATATTCCTAAGTAGAGTAATTTTAATTCAGCATGAGTTTGTTTCTTGAAAGAGGGGGTTGATTGTTTTTAGCAAAGTAACATCAAATGAACCCTTGTTTCATAATGTGACTAGAATGACTGAAATCGGAGTGTCTTACGATTGTAATTTTTTCCCCTGCTTTTAGCTCTGGATAAAGGAATATGCTCTGTCTGCTGTGATGCAAAAGCACCTCTCTGACAAACAAGAGAAGATAATTCAAGGTGTCGTAAGCAGACTAGGATGCCTCAGTGATGAGTAAGTTTGGTTTTATCAGTAAGCAATGGGGTAAAACTGTACTGCTGCATGCAGAGATAAAAACGTGTATATTATGTTGTGGAAAGCAGTGTTGAGAGACTGTGAGCATCTTCAGATGGGGAGGCAGTTACTCTAGTTTTTTTATCTGAGTATCAAAAACAAAGTAAAAAACCCAGAGATATCATGATTCCTGGTAAGTAGAAAAAATAGAGTCTTCTGTGATTTGTCAGGTGATGTACTTTCTGTGTATCTACACCTATGTTTGTGAGTGATTACTAATCTTGAACCAGCCTCTCTGCACTCTGTATGTCACTTTGGAGTTGGATATTCTTCAGGGTAAGGTGTTTGGTCCAGCACCGTTCGGTTCTGCCTTTGTTTTCTGCTCTTGCAATACCACTGACCATCCCTTTGCATGACAGTGACTCCTCTCCTGCATTCTCTGTCTATTCACGAAAGAAACTTCTAGTTTTATCTCATCTTTGTATAGTTAAACATTTCTTTGGTAGAGATACTTCTCAAAAAAACACAGTTCTGTGAATCTGCCTTGTTTTGATTAAGATATCAAATGACTTCATTCACCATGGTCTTCACACTAACAAAGATCAAAGCATTTGAAGACTTGTCTATTTGGAATATTGGTATTATTGCCATTGCACTTCTTTATTTTGGCTCTACCTTTCAGTTTAACCTTATATTTTCATGTTCTGTGACTTCAGTGTTTCCCAGGATTCAGTATCTGGAGAGCTCATACACGCAAGTTAGATGCAGGCACAAACAGTGTCATCCCAAGTGTGCACACAGATTTCACTCACCTGGTCCAGAATCAACTTCAAAATTTGCTCTCCTGTTTAAAATTCACTACAAACTTGCTTCAGCCATGTCTGCCCTGCCAGCTAACACAAGCCTCTTCAATGTCTCTTCAGAGCCTGCCTCCTTGTTAATCCAAGATATGCTGTCCTGCATTTTCTTGAAATAATTTTCCTATAGTTCTGATTACATTTGCTTTTCATCTTATTTCAAGTCTCCTATTAAAAAAACTTTTATTATGTAATTATAGATGATTATTTATCTCTTTTTATTTTTATTTTAATTTAACTTCTGTGTGACAGAACTAGAAGGCAATCACAGCAATACCATTCTTTACACCTGAGCAGCTCTTCAAGGCATGTTTTGTACAAGAAGACATTACACAGGGTGAATAGTAACTCTTGTCACCTTTCAGCAATGACTTTGCTGAACACAGCAAAGCAGCAGCTTAGCTGATTGATTTTTAATGGTCCTTTTTACAGGTCTGTTAACTATATCCTTCAAAAACACCGACTTCTGCTGTGTTCAGTACTCACAAGGTTAACTCTCCGAAGAGTTGGAATGGCAGCCCTGGCCCGCATGAGACTGTCCAGAAAGAAGAGCTTGCTTCAGGAACTGAGAGAGCAACATACCCTGCAGAAGGGATCCTCTCCCTGCCAAGATGAGGACCAGTGGCAGTTACAGAAGGCGGTGGTAGGTACAGTGTCTGGGTTTTTCTCCAGAGGTCTCATATGCTGTGATGTCTGGCATTAGAAGTAGCTGTAGAAGATCTCAAAAAATAAAAATGTTGAAGTACCAAATAGAAAGGAAAATATTCTCTGTCAAAAATGCACTCACTGCTGGCGTAGGAAGTCCCTGAGTGTGCCTGTTGTAGTTTGGGCCGTCATTTTAAATTCCTCAACACTTCATCTACAAACTAGTTGTCCATGATACATGTTATCATAGCAAGCTTATTTAGCTATTCATTTTATATGAAAATGCTAATTAAAGAAGGCATGGCAACATGTATAAAGGACTTCTACACATGTTACTGCTTCAGGGTAAAATAAATTCCTACTAATTCTGCTAGGGATCATAATAGGCGCTTGAAAAGTTCTTACTTGAGCATCAGAAGAAATACTTTCCTCCGCCAGACCTAGCAAGTTCTTCTATACTGTCATCATTTTTCATTCTTTTTTCTTTCTCTTCTGTCCATGAGATGCTCAGCATCCTTTCCCCTGACATCCTTCCAAATAATCTGGCTCCTGTAGGTTAAAGAGAGAAACTTTATTCCCACAGGTCACTTTCAAATCTGTCACTGTGGTTTTTAAGGTTAATCCACGAAGTGTTGCTGATTATTTACTTATCTGCACTGTATATTTACCTAGAACAACACCAGATTTCAGATTTCAACCTCAGAGGACCCTCCTAGCAGGTGTCAGTGATAGCCCCTGCCTAACCCACTGCTGCTGCACATCAGGATTGAACCCATCCAACACTTTGCAGCTCTTTGCTCCATGCTGTCACTGTGTAATTAGCTGAGAGAAAATAATGTGCATCCCTCTAATTCTGATTTGCATAATCCAAACCGTAATTGTCCACTTGGAAGAGAAATAAGGAAATTCTATCTGCTGCCATTTTCATATTTGATACTTCTGTTGAAGTAGTTTCTGATAACTGTGAAATCTCAAAGTCTCATTAACCTTCAGAAGAAATAAAATATAAAATAATAAAATACAAATGCATGTGACTGCATTCCTCTTGTTATGTGCTGTCCACTACTCCCTCTCACTGAGCTCCCACAGGGACATTGATACAATCACTGTGTTCCCTAATAACAGTGAGATGTCCCCAGGTTTTACTGTTCCTTTCTCTCTCCATCACAGCCTCTTTCCAAGGCCAGCTAAAACCCATGTCACAAGGAAGTGCCTAAAAATACACATAAAAGATCCTGGCTGCCAAAGAAGTAGGGCCTAGGAGTGGAATGGTGAAAAGTCAGAGAGAAAAAACTGTTATGAATAATCTCCAAAACTAGAACCAATGTATAAGAAGTTAAAGAAAAAGGTTAATTTACAGACACTCAACCAGAGTTTTAGACATACCATGTTGTTTGAACTAAACTTAATTTGAGCTTATGCCAATTTTAGAGTGGTAGACAGTGTCACGTCTATCTGTTGATTTCATATAAAACAACACTAAAAAATCCTGCTTGGACATGATAACATGGCATTGGGTCTCTGAAAAAAAAAAAAGAGAAATGGTTTAATGACATTCTGACTGTTTAAGAAAAACCATCAAAAAATTATATCTGAGCTATAAATAAAGATGTCAGAATAACCCAGCATTAGTAAGGACATCATTATTTTTCACAGATGAATGTGGGCAGAGCGAGTTCTTATGCAAGCATAAGAAATGCTTGCATTTCTTATTTCCAAGAGGAAATCTAATAGGTACTGTCAAATCCCCCAGAATAATTTAATGTTATTTAGCCTTAAATGAGAATATTAATATAAGACGGACATCAGCAACTTTTTCTCAGGTAGACCTCACAAACTGTACGAGCATTCCAGGTGCATGACTGTATACTTGCTTTGTTCCTATGCACATTATCAAAGCACCCTCAATTACCCCTTACTGGACTCAGGATATTTGACCTAGATTGTTCATATTTTTAATAGAAATAAGTCCAAATTTAACAGTACAGCATACAAAAATGGGAATACATCACTTGGAAATGACTAACAGGATGGGATGCACCAGTTATTGTATGTATCCTGACAGAGGCAATAGTTTTGTTGCAAAAAGACAGCCGTGTTAAATGACTGCACATAAACTTCCACTGGAAATTAGATTGTTCTAAGTATTAAAACAGTAACATTCTGTATGGATGTAGGACTTTCTTTTAAAGTGAAGCTGACTAAGTTTGTTAGCGTATTTAAATGGCAGTGCTATCTTTTTGTCTGATTACCAGGAGTCCCACATTCTGGAAGAGGAGGAGAAGCTCGAGGAAGAAACACAGCAAACCCATTTAGAATTTCACCAGCAGCTAGTCACAGAAATTAAAGAAGCTCTTCAGTTTCTCCAGCAGCACATGGAGCAGGTGATTGGGCGGACACTGCTGCAGCATGCCCGACGGGAAGCTGGAAAAAAGAGTTCAGATGATGGACAGGACTTCAAGGTATAGAAATGTTCAATACTGGTTTTCCAAACAAAATGAATGCTACTTTGCTAAAATGGAAGGCAATTTCATTTATGCATTACCCTATGCCTAGAAGTATCAGCAGGAGACCATTACAACCTGCATTAAAACTGAAGATACCTTGCAAAGTAGTTGCAAACTAACACTATTTAGAAGTACAATATTTTCTAGTAGCTTGCTATAGCAGCCAAAACAGGTTTTATTAAGCCAAACCCTGGAATGTAAAAAAAAAAGAGAGAGTTCTTGATGACAGAGAATAACAAAAATGAGGAAGAAATGGAGATGGTTATCTCTAAAGGTTTAATGGTTAATTAATAGTATTTGTATATTAACAGCTTAATATTAATTCATAGGTAAATAATTAAATAAAAATAAAACTTGCTTCATAGGTTAATAAAATTGTTCCAAAGTAAATATGTGGATTTTCTGTATAATGGAAAGTTGTAGTGGAGCTACACTTACATTGATTTACTTTGCTGGCAGTCGGGTTGTCTGGTAAAATAGGCCATAGAGATTGAACAAATAGGGGAGTGGCCCCTTCCCAAGTGGAGGTGAGGCACATTAGAAAGATTTTACTGTAATTTTTAATGTTGAAAAGTTCCATGAAGGAATAGAAATACCTGTTTTCCAGCGTCTTAGTCTGCCACATTTTTAAAGCACAAAATTCACAATTTTGTGTGCACATGCAAAATTAGATTGGGTCTTCAGTTTTAGACAGATCAAAACACTTCAGTTTTTGACTTTTAGAAAATTAATTGTGACTTGTACTGTGTAATACAGGAGAGACTGGTGGAAGCTGCTGTAGAAAGTGTGTATGGGACCAGCAATAATATCAATAAACTGGTGCAAAACTACTATCAGCAGTTAGGAAAAATCACAGAAGGCTATGAGACAAAAAAGCTCCAACAATTTAAATCCTTACAAGGTATGTATGATATTGACAACTATAAGATAATTCTGTTTTTTTAACAGATAAATTAATTTTCTTATAACTGCAAAGATTGCTTTTAAAGATAACAGAAATCTGTTATTTAAAGTAAGCAGCAAAGCAAAATGAATGTGTAGGTCCATTTCCATATTTGAAGGAGAAGTTGTAGAACTGTCATTATTAATAATTACTTGAATTACAGTCATAGATGCAGGACACTGGTGCTCAAAGTTTGGTACAGACGCACACAGAACAATGACCCAGTGTTGGAAATTGTAGTTTAACCACGAACGCGGTTCACCAAGCTAAGATCAGAGATACCACCATAGTCACAACCACCAGCAGCTGATTTTCTGGTGCACCTCAACACAAGCAGAAAAACTTAAAAAGCAAAGAGTTGTACAAGTATTAGGTTGTACAGCCAGCATCTACCATAAGCACTGTTCAACTTTGCATATTAATATATGCAAATAAAATGAATCAATGACAAATATTCATAGGGTGAGAGAGAGGGTATATGACAGGCACCTACAAGCTGAATCTTTTCTCGAGAAGGGAGGAGATTGGAATCTCTGCTCCCATGTTAGAAAACACGAACATCATTAGCAGACAGTCTGCTTCCTCTGAGGCGACTGCCCTCAGCTTTGGGGCGTAGGTTCATATATTCATTCCTTTTTTTGCCTCAGTGAAATGTTGTCTCTAAAGTTGAAGAAATGCAGTATAGGAGACGCCAAAAAAAGCCAAGCATGGCCATTCTGAAACACTGTGTGAGCTACCGCATTGTTTCTTAGCTGTTAACCATGACCATCTTACAGGTTGTGAAACTGTTAAAAGGTTTATGAACTGCTGGATCTCACACAAATACAGGTGGTTTCCCCTGGAATTATTTTTAATTGCTCAGTTCCTTCTGGACAGGAGAACAAAAGCAAACTGTGATTATTGATGTCTTTTGTAAATGCCCTCCCCTCCCCTGGGTGAAGGCTCTTGGCATTTAATGAAGTTAGCAAGTTAGCAAAACAGCAATATCGTCAGAGGCTAAGTATTTGAAACACATGGAATGGATTGTTTTCCTAAAAATAGTTAGCAATTTCAAATAGAAATTATTCTTTAACCACAGAAGAGAGTTTTTGAAGAGGAACAGACATGTCTACTCAAGGCTGGGATCCAGACATGTCTTGGTAGGAAGGATTTGTGAGACCCAGGAGGAGGTAGATATGCTCACTGGTTATAAGACAGAACCAATCTGTTCTGCACTGCCCTGTTGTGAACCTTGAAGACTTTAATATTGGAAGCTGAAGTGCTATGGTTAGGTAAAATTGGGGTGGCTTGTGACATCTGTATTTTAGGCATTGGCAGCTAGCAAGGCAGTCAGTTACTTAAATTCTCACAAAGTCCCTCTAAAGACTTCTTTGCCTCTGATTCAGCTAACTGCAGAGTCTAAAATCCCTTTAATTTGAGTTCCTTTAAGCAGGAATTAAAACTGAAGCCTGTTCCTGAGATGGATGTCATTACACACATGACTGTTCTGTTTCGTTAGTGTTTTGATATTGCTCTCAACTGGTCTCGCAATTAGGTTGCGGGACCTAGAATACCAGTCACTGGAACCACAGACAGCCTTCTGGTAACTGCTCATTTTTTCTCCTACAGTTTGTGTGGATATATTATTGTTTCAGTGTATTGGTGTTCCATGAACTACAAGAAAGAAAATTACATGTTTAAGCAGGGCACATTTTCTTTTCAACTGAAGAAAAAGAAAATCCTGCTGCAATGTAAGCCTACAGGCATGAGGGAGGATGAGTCTATTTACGTTGGTAATAAAAGCAGGAGTGTGTTAGATTTGGGTGGCCAGAGAGAAACCCAGCTGAAATTCACAGATCAAATTAATTGCTACGGTGAAAAAATATTGCAAACCTACATGTCCATGCTGCAGCCGGGCTGAGATTTTCAGTACCAACAGATAACTACTTCAGCTTTGTGGGTGTTTTTTACATTAGGAGTGAGCACTACTGTCTAATAAGGGACTTCAGTGCTTTAGTACACATAAGTCCTTCTTTAACCTAAGTCCAAATTTGTGATGCAGAACCCCACTCCTTTCTCATTTCAGCTGAAGTGCCCCAGAAGCACTTTAATTTCTCTCTGTGATTCTTAACAGCCTGAAGCTGTGCTCCGAGCCACAGCCAGGACACCCTAAGCCCTGCTAGCCAGCTGACTACTTTCCATCCGAGCTCAGCCAGGAGGCAGAACATCCATATTTCTTCCTTTTCAGAAGGGGGCTGATCTGTTAGGTGTTCTCCAACCATGTTTACCGTACTGAGAGTGTGATCCTCCTCACCAAATACTCTCATAACTTCTCTCTTTAGAACACAAGAAGGAAAAAACCATGTTGGCATCAGAGCCACCTACTATGTGATAGCCTTGGGGTTAGAATGGCAACATAGGAAATTTCTTATGATGTACTTCATTCAGTGATAGCTAAATGGGAGTAAGGAGCATAATGCCGGGCTTTTCTCTCCAGTGGCTGGGCTTAATGTCAGGCTAGAGGATTTTTCTTCTTTGGGCATCCTTTGGCCTAGTAAATCTGAATTTACAGTCTGTCTGGCACAGCCACAGGGAAAAAGGTGGAGAGCACCTCCCCTCTGCCAGCCAGCCCAGCCCAGCCTCGAGTACAGCCAGGAACTGCTCCCTGATGGTGCCGTTGGTAGGAGAGGTGCCTGTCAGCCTCTCCAAGTGTTCAGAAAAGGTTAGATGCTCCCCAAATGAATATTATGTACCCTAATCTGTTACATACCCATCCATCTCCCTCCTTCCGTGTTTTATTTAAAAGCAGTGGTGCAAGGAAACCAGTTCTATCTGTCAGACATGCCCCAAGCCGTGCTGCCAGGCAGGACTTCAGGGGCAAGAGTCAGGAGCCCGGTCAGCAGATAAACGCCACGTTATTCACGGAGTATGAACATACAAAAACGTACCCAGAATACTTCACCATCAAGTGAGGGGATGTCCAGTGAAGTTAGGCATTCCCAGGACTAAGTGGCCTCTGAGTGGAGGTCTTCTTTATATTGTATTTTTTGCTTAGGTATTAGAGTTCTTGCTTAAGGCATCAAGATCTTTTCATAAAATTTCTACTTTGAATTCCATGTTAATCAGTTAGCCTATGGGAGAAGCAGGAATTCAGTGACATTACCATCTTAGCTAAATGATATACAAACTATTGTCTGTGCAACAGATCACAGTGGCAGAGCAAGAGTGTGCAAGAAGTATTTGATATCCCTTCGGAGAAGCGACTTTGGAAAGACTACCTAGAACAGGGATTAATTTGTGCTGTTGTAAAACATAAATTGTAAGGTTGCCACAACTTGGGAGTTTGTAATTTTGAGCAGAAGATTTTACAAAAGCATTATTTCAGCAGAAAGAAGTGAAAGGAACAGACTTAGGAAGAAACAAGAGAATGAGCTGGTATTGAAAGAAAAACAGACCAAAGGCCTCCTGAACGTGTCATCCACAGTCCATCAAAGGTAAGAGCAGGCAGCAGCACTGCTGACTCTATTTAAATGTTGTGAGTGTTTGCAGATCTACATAAATGTCTAGATGAATAAACGTCTTGGTTTTGCATCTTATATTTGTCTTTGATGGAAAAGAAATATCTGTTGCCAAATTACATCTACCCTTTGATCTCAGAGAATTACTTTTTTATTAAATAAACTTTTTGATTCTCATTAATTACAGACTGAAGAACTATACATAGACAGTTTGAAAACAGAGAGTGAAAAACAATGCCAAAACATATGCCAAATTTTAAAAGAAATTTAACATACATGTAGGATGGAAACTGATGCTGTCTAATTCATTACATTCCATCTTTTCTGCTTTGAACATCAAAAGTGTTTGTTAGTTTGCTCTTGAGTAAACATTTACCGTAATGAAGAGAAAATGTTTGAAACATAAATAACACTCAAAATGGCAAGAAGTGAGTGCCTTGGACAATCAAGGTTACTTGCACTAAATTTACAGTGGAATCCCTGAAATGTTAATTAAATAAAAATCATATTTAATTCATTACTGATTTTATGAAACTTACAGTCCAGACAAAAAGCACTGAAATTCCAAAGGAATAAGTTGTCATAAAAAGCTGTGTGACTTGGCACGCACATGATACATTTTTTGTAATCATTTTATTTCTTTACTCTTGGTTTATTATCCAGAACAACACAGCATCCGCGATTTTGACATTGTAAAGAGGTTCATTCTTTTTTTAGACATTCTGTTACTTCTAAATTGAAATAAATCATTGCCCACTTTCTGGTTTTCATCCTTGTTTGAATTAGTATAGAAATGGATTCATATAAAAAAGCACTTCATAAAAGATCTGTTAGTTATTCATTTTCAAGTTTATGATTTATTCTAACATACAAATTCACTTCTAGCTGTTGTCTCAGTTTTTTCTCCTATAATGTATTTTAGTGTCTTAAAATAAAATACTATCAAATTGGCCTTCATGCAGGCAGAAATATGGTATTCAAGAATCTAACTATTCAGTATCTAAGCTGATCCCATCACCATTTGTAATCAAACCCATTTTCGTATTGTCATTATGATTTCTTTTACAGTCAAATCCCTATCCTGTGTAAATTAATGACAACATTTCCATTAATTTGTCTAACTCCTATTAAACTCAACGCAGATTTATTTCCTTTTGCCTGTGGTGCAAGGTTATGAGTGTGAGTTCAAAAGGCAAATTTCGAAAGCTGACCTTCTGTAAGCATTGACCATTACACTAGCAACTTCATTACGTGTAGATGTCAGAAACAATTCGTGTTATCTCCTTCCCTGAGGAATGTGATGGGTGATTGACAGTGTTGCTTCAAAGTAGATGAGGCAAGAGAACAAAAGAAATACAAATTTGGCAAAGTTGCAGCCATTCAGGTTCTACTGTATTAATCTTTAACCAGCAAAATAAAACACGCAAAGAATATAGTTGTCAATGTTCCCAATTGCCAAGTTTTGAATTACCATGTTTCTGGCTCAGTCTCAACCTGGTAATGAAGAGCCCTGAATGAAATGGCCTGATTCTTAATCCCTTACCCTCACACCTGATCCTCTAACAGCTTGTCTTTTTGGCAAGCAGACAGTAAAGCTGACTTTAGAAAAGTACAGTGGTTTTGAAAGCAGAGTTCAACATTAGAGCTGAACTCCAGGTCCCAAAGTTCAGGCATAGACAACCCAAACTCCTTCTGCAATTCCTGCCTCTGAAAGGAGCTTGTATTCCATGCAGAACCAAAGCAGGTTATTAAAATAAGTAAATCTAACTGCAAATCTGCCACAAAATTATTTGTCTTAGGAAAAGCTGGATGGCTGATACTGTTAATGAGTCCTTCTCTCTACAAAATCTTCAAAATACTCTCTGCCAGGATTGTATTCCTCCCTTGATCTGAACATTGGTACTTTTAATTTTCCCTTTACCAGGATGGTACTACAGCAAAAGAAGGTTTTGTCTCAGTTTGAACTGCAGCAGCAAATTCGTCTGGAGTCTCTGAAACAAAAGCTGCTGGGATTGCATCACCTAGAAACTGAGTTGGAGAATCAGCTAAAGGTAAATCAGGGTAAAACAACTCGGGGATCTGAAACAGTCTGTGGCAAAACGTCAGCCAGGTTGTAAGGGTCTCTTTGCTGTCCCAGTTGAAATCAGTGCTGAGATTCACCACTGTCTTCACCACTGAAGCTGACTCACAACCCAGTAACACATGCAGTTAACAGTTAGAAACTATTTCCTATAAAGAGAACGGGGGACTTGGGGAAGGCATTATATTCTCTATCTTGCTTATTGAGAGTTCTGTATTGTGTCTGTTGCAAGCACAGACTCAGTTTTTGGTTATTTGAACATCTCTACCTAATCAGATGGAGACTACTCAGCCTCCCTACTAGTGTGCTTGAGTTCATGGCCACGACAAGGGGGAGCAGGCCCAAACGCAGTGTAGAGGTGACCAGCCAGGTTTCATGTCCGATGTCCTGCTCCTCATTATGCACATGCTCTCAGCCTGTTTGTGTGGAGTGCTGTTAACAAGAAGCTAGAGTTAACTTCTCGCTGAATCTCTTCAGTAAGAAACACATTGCTGATGCTAGCCATATTGTTTCCTATGTTTCTGCAATGACATATGCCTTTTTTGTCATGCCACGTGTAGACTAACATAACCCAGAATCAAGCTGTGTTGTGTTAACTGATTTCTGGTTTAACCTTGTGCAGGAAGCAGAGCAGGACTTTGTGAGTGAGTTGGCTGCGCTGGCCCGAGTTCCGGTGGCAGTGAAGAAGAAGCCTTCAAAGAGGAACAAGCCAGCAGGTTGGTGCAACCCTGGATTGTTTTAAAAAATACATCATCCCACATATCAGTGTGTATTTTGCCATATCACACAATGGAGTTTTAGGAGAGATTTTTTTTTTATCATCAGTGCCATTTCCCTAATTGGGATATAGAAAAGTAAGGCAACCTTACCAAGGTCACTCAGCTCGCCAGTACCAGAGCTACAAATAAGTGTCACTGTTCCTCACTCCAGAGCAGTCCTTTAGCCAATAAATGGCATTGTGTCCACTGAGGTGAGGCTTTGCCTTGCTCAAACCTGAATTGTATTTCATGTCTTTAAAAAGGACTCTGTTCACCTTGATCACTAAGTCTTTGGGGAGGACAGCAGAACTGAATCACACAGTTTTCATTCTCCTGGTAGAATGGAATAATTGGCCTTCCCACACACATGCTCAGAAGTAAAATCGTACTGAATCAGGAAACTGGAAATATTTATATGAATTTACTGCAGTTTTAACAAATTAGACTAGTTCAGTATTCAAGAGATACTTAGGGACAAATTGTCAGAATAGCAATTGTGTTCCCTGATCTGTATTTGGAGTGAAGCATGCAAATTCTCATTCTTGAGCCATGCAATTCTGCTGTCATTAGCAGAATGAAACATTTGGCATTACATTTGAAAGATGCTTAAAGGTGAGACAGGTGCCTGAATGGGAAAAAGGGAAGGGAAAAGCAGCTCGCTCTCCTGGACAATTTTGAAGTCTCTCTCCCCAGTTGGTCATTTCCCAAGCATGCAGATCTGTTTGTCCTGGTATGCACCGTGACCCCAGGGACACGTGTGGAAGCTTAGCTCAGAGCCCTAAAACTAGTGACTTTTTAACATCAGGTTGTTCTGATTCAAATCGCATAAAATTATGAAGTGACTTTTCTTCTCTTTGCTGGTAGTAAAAAGCCATTTTCAGTTACTTGCCACAAAAACATATAATACAGCTTTCAACTGTTGCACCTTGTGGTAACTTACTTCAGTGTTCAGCAAATAGGGAAGTTCAGCATCTGCTCTGTGAGAACTAACCAGTAGTAAAAAGCCAATATTCTAGACTAGTGTAAAGTGGAATAATTTCCTTGGAATAATAACGTATGTGTATGAAGTGTTATAGTATATTTTTTTTGCTTTAGTTTAATCAAAACCAAACAGGCTCTACTATCTGTGATTCTCTTTTTTTTTTTTTTTTTTTTAACCCACGTTTGGCAATTCAGGGGAAAAAACAAACTCAAAAATAAAGGCCTTTCAGTCACCAGAATTGGATGACAAAGATAATTCTCATGAAAATATTCAAGAGCCCCCTGGACTGACTTCTGGCTTATGCAGGTACAGTAGAGGCTTAAAAAAAAAGGGCATGTGAAAAACTATTTATAAAAAGCAGTACAAAATCTACTTCATAAACAGGTATGTTAATTAAACCCAAAGTATAACACCAACACTAGCTGACCTTCTTCCTTAATACTTTCTTCTCACATGTATTTAACCTTTTTTTTCCCCATATTCTTTTTTAAATTTAGGAAAATCATCTGAGTTTGCTTGTCTATGCTGGTATGTATTTTGTAAATAATTTTGATTTTAGGTAGAGAAATGAGAAATACTGTTTCCAAATTTCCTTTAATTAGGTTTTCTTAAAACCTGAGTCGCAGACAGCATAAATCAGCACAGACAAGTGAATCCAATGGAACTAGGCTAACATGTAGCAACCAAAATATGGTCTGTGGTATTTAGGCTTTCAACTTCCACCTTTATTTCAGGAACAAAGGCAAGCGCCAGTCTTTGGCTGATGAGAGTAGCAGCTCTAACAATTATTTTCTTGATAGATGTTTCAGTTGGCTTATGCTGGGGTGCTAACTAGAGGAGAAGAAATGGCTGCAAACCTGAAAGATGCCAGCTGATTACTACGGGCAGATCAAACCAGCCAGCTGGTCGCTGGGGCTTGATATATTGAGCAGAGAAAATCCTGTTGACAGGCAAAGCAAACAGTTGGTTCTCAGGAGCCACAGGCCTTTGGGGAAAAGTATTTATCCCCTGAGTGACCTCAGCCTGGGACTGACTTCAGGAGATGGCTCCTTTCCCTGATGGCATCAACCCTTTTCACACACTCCTTTCCCACAGCCAACAAGGGATACGTGTGTAGGG